TTTATTTAAATTACTACCTTGCATACAAGAGTTAGCTCAAATCGGCACATGTCGCAATTCTTATTAGAGGATTAGAGGATTTTTATGGTAAACCAAGTCCTTCATTCACGTGAGTGACAGCGCTGACAGCAGAAATTGTATGATAAAAGCCGAGGAATTCTTCAAAGTGGGACAATCTGAGGCTCTAAGCGAGTTTCAATGATAGCGTCTGTACGTCTGTAGTCTAGCAGCATTGTGTTTACATTGAAATTTTTGGTTATGTTTGTACCTGATACGGTACTTTCTTATATTATGTTATGTTGAAATCAAGGTGAGTGATGAGCAACTCCAATAATTGTCTATATGATCCTTTAATTTCTATGTTTTTTTTTCTAGAAAAACTAAAATGATGTGATAATGATGTCGTAGGTAAGACATATGGATGCTTTATGTGTCTGGATGATTGACATATTATGTAGTAATCCTCGATATGTGATTCGCTAACAATTTCTCTCTGATCGAGGCTGATAATAAGGCTGTATGTTTTTTAAATTCTTTCAAATTTTTTTCCATATTGTGTAGTGTATCGGATAGTGATAAGATGATGACAGTGACGAGATCAACTTTTTTCTAATAACGATAACAAAGACCATACACTACACGTTGGATTTTTGTACACAGAAACATACATACATATTTAAAATCTTGAATTAATGACATAAAATTCTACATAAACATACTTATCCTTTGGTAATTTTTTTGAAGGATATTGAAAAAAGTATGGAGAAAAGTTTTGAATTCATAAAAAACAGTTTTGAGTTAGTCAAGGAACTTAATGGGAAGCCATTGGATTCAAACTATAAATTAGTATCTTTCGATGTATCTATGTACACAAATATTTTTACTGAATTGACTATTAGAAGTATTAAAAAATATGGGATATTCTGTCTCTAAAAGTATAACTATTCCAATTAAAGAATTTCCAACAGCAATTCCATTAATATATATTAAATTCCACTTTTTAAAAATTTGACAACCAATGCTTTAAACAAATTTTTGGCATACTCGTGGGATCCCCCTCTATCTCCAATTTTAGCAAATCTTGTACTGCAGAATCTGGAGAGTGATATTTTCAATACCATCAATATTGTGATATTTCTATTTATTACTGTTATGTGCATGATATTCTACTAGTAGTTCTACGAGATCAGATAAATGTGATTCTAAATAGATTTAATATATATATATTCTTATTATAACAGAATAAAATTCACCGTTGAAGAGAATGATGATTGTATTATATCGAATTTTCTAAATGTAAAATTGTGACGATAAAGGACGGAAATATTATTTTTTATGTAAAATTTTTACAAGAACCCACCAACTCTGGTAGATATCTCAATGAGGATATTCATACTAAGACTTATTGGGATATTCTACATCATATCTGAATTCAACACCCTCGAAACTATAAAAATACATTCAAATTCAAAATTTATTCTGATCGGCAAAAAATCAACTTTTTATCGACACAAAAGAAAGGGTCTTATTCTTTAAAATAAATATTCTTTGCAATAAATTTCTTTATAGATTTTAATCTTATTTAACATCATTAAGATCTTTCTAAAATACCTACGAGCATCAAATTATTAAGTTGTTAGTCAATTTAATTTGTGGTATTACTACTATTGTTCGGTCGGGTTTACGTTTCAAAACCGAAAAATCAATTCGGCGCGCAATTTAAATTACTACAATATGTAATATATAAACATCATATTAATCAAGCACTTAAGATCCAGCTTGTCCGTTTTAAGGCGTTTGTTCCCTACTAGTTGTATATTCACATTTACTTGTCCTAAGAATGTCTTTGTTCAATAAATTTTGTATTATTAATCATATATTCTAATTGTTTCAGAATTTTTTTTATTTTGGGAATATGACACGCTCACATGTAAAATACCAAATTGCTAGAGATGATGTCGATACATCCGAGTACTTACCACAAAATATTCCAGATTTTCAAAATGTGACGAAGACAGAACCCACGTTTTGGAGGAAAGCGTTCCACATATTTTTATTGATATCTGCTTACTTTATTTTATCAATAGGCCTTACATTTTATAATCCATGGCTTTATAATGCATATGTGAGTAATTGATAACTAGAATTTTTTTTATAACTTTTTCATTTATCTAGTCCTAATGTAAAGAAAAAATAAATATAATCTCGAAAGGCACATACGTACGCGTTCGCGATTACACGCATACACAATGGGGAAAAAAAACATTCTTTTTGGACAAAAATTTTATTAGACGGCTTAATCGATTTTGATGATTTTAAAAAATTTCTTGTTATAAAATTTTTTGCATCATAGAGCTGTTAAGTTTTTGATATAAAACTACAATTCGAAATAGTAATTTTCCAAGATGACGGCGCGAGTGG